ATTATGGGTTTTCCAGGCACACAGTTCAATTCTATACCACAATAAAAACTATGTTCCCTTCKGTTGTAATGAAAATGCTGAATGTATCAAAAATTTAATTGACTTTGCATCCTAGCCAGTCTTAACACCTTGAAATTGGCCTCTGCCTCTTTAAGATCCTCCTGCCATTTCAGACGCTCCCACTTTCAGCACATCTTCACAACAATGTTTTGTGGGGGGGGGGTGCGCTCTGTGGGGACGGAGCTCGGCTGCAGACTGAACTCCAGGGAGGAGATTTGTGTATGTAGGCGGGGCTTTGTACTAGCAAGCGGTTAGGCAGCTTCACATGACTACCACAGGAGAGTCAAGCATACACGAATAAYTCAAAGCAACACTCTGGGTATGTTTTTGAGGAGGTAATGACATTATAACATGAAAGCGCAAAAAAGTAAATTTTGAATAATTACTCCTCRCCCTTTAAAAARGAAGATAAACTAATCCAACWCRSTGAATATGCAGTAAATGCTGAGCTGCAAAGCCTACACTAAAGGACTGAAGTAAATATTACTACAAGCAAGCAATTAACTGTTTATTAGAGGCTGACTTTCAAATCTAACGCTAATTCAGGAACAATCTTTTTTTCATGCATTCTTGCTATTTGTCACTTTAAATTCTTTAAAATAAAAGCACTACACTTGCTGTTCACAGAGTGCAGAAAGGCAATGTATGATGCACGACACTGTCCTGTACAGCGGGCAGCAGGTTTGTAAAAAAGTCTTCCTTGGTGTTTACAAGTGGTCACAGATGTCAGGGTTTGCAGAGGAGCAGCAGAAACAGCCACATCTGATTAACAACATTATTGTTTTCTTCCACAGCGCCACAGAACCTCTTTCATTCCTGCCTGTTTTAAGCCGTGGTAGTGTGTTGTCACTGCTGTGCTGCTGCCATCCAAAGAAACAAACAAGGCGAGTCAGGAGGTTAAGACAAAGAGCACTTTTGTTTCTTACCTAYAAGACATAACAATGTCTGGGGACACGTATTAAAAAAAGTCACRCACAGTGTATCTGAATATACATTTGTTACTGTTATTTTTGCACAATTATAACAAGTAACCTGAATTCTGAGCACATTATTAGCATGTCTGCAACAAGTAAAACAGCAGGAGGTAAAATTTACTTACATCTCAGCTTCAAAACAGACATGAGAGCATGAATCAGTCTCARGGGAATGTGAGTGTTCATGTGTGCATGTACAGTAAACCCGAGCTTGTAAATTTAGGCTTTTGATCCTTACCCTCCTAATACTCTGTGCTTTTTTTTTTATCATTAGTTGACTTTTTTCCCCTTCCTTTTTTTCCCCTTATCTGTCACGACAGCGCTAACCCCACACATTTCCAAGCTGCTTATTGAAGACAAACAATAAACCACTGGCAGATATCAATGGCAGAGATGAGAAAGCGGGTGCCATATCTGCTGGGACTGCCTGGCGAACCTGCCTCTGCCMGAGCTTCATCTCCAGCAGCAGCTCTCACTCTCAATTATTTGGCTGCTGTCACAACAAATCAATCAAATTACCGCTCCAGGACTGTGTGCAGCTGCTCCTATTGCACCGCTAGTTGCATTAGCTTTGAAATGTATGAGGTCTACATTTTATCACTGTTATTTATTTAATGCAGCTCTCTCCCCTGCGAGTCATCGTACAACCACAGCGAGCTTAAATCATTAAAGGACGACGTGGAACGCATACAGCTTGAGAACGCTTCAAATTAAACAGCGATAAGTGAAGAGGGATGGCCTGGATTGTTTTATGATGACRGATGTTGAGGTGAGAAACTGTGAACTGCTTGTGCCCACAAATGACAGCTTTTTTTCTTACAATGAACTSAAACGTACACACAGCAGTGTGGCAGTAACAAGTCTAATAAGGATMTTGGATATACTTTAGTTCAGATGATGTAATGAGTAAAGGAACACGGTGGGGTTGTCACAGCACACAAAGGTTAAGTCTGCGGCCTGGCCCCGGTGAGCTTCTTTTAAAGGGAGCAGCAGTCAGCTGAGGCAGAAGCGATCTGGGCTGACATGTCTAACTAGTGTGGAAACATTTGGCTCTTCCCCCAGGAGGCCACCCTTTGGAGGTGTAATGAACAGAGCGATTTCCCTAATTTGTATTATGCCAAAACCCCCAAAAGCGGCGAACGACACCGCTGAGTGTTTTCGTCAAGARGAGAGACGCGCCTCTGATTGGCATCGACACGCAGTCTCATTACAGCAGGTGAGTGGGATGCCGACCTTCATGAGTGCTGTTTTGTGTTTCCTGTGGACGAGAACAGAGGAACAATCCTCTCGCCTCGCCATTAGAACACGGCTCTCTGATGTGATGCGCCGCTTGGCTTTCTGCTCTGAGCAAATAAGKTGGGATGTGCTTATTAATACGCAAGAGCTCCAGTAAAGCTGCTCCTTGAAATACCTTTGAGTGAGTCACGGAGGGAAGAAGTAGACAGATGACTTTGTTCTGCTTCCTCCCATTGAGCATTACATGTACAGTTCTTTGATACAGCTAGTGTTACAAGTATGGTAATCACACTTTGCTTGTTATAATATCAAGGTAAACGAAACCCCATTTAAAATGCAACAGAATCGCAGCACAGCGGCTGAGAACAAACATCTACAAATGTTTTGTCTGTATGTCATTCATACTTAAACCTGATTTTATAACAAAAATCAAATGTGATTTTTTTTAGTTCTCATCCGCCATCATATTTACAGACCTCTGGCATGACCCAACCTAGTTTTGCCTTTGTGAAGTCAGCTAGAATTCGGTACGCTCTGTCACAAAAGATAACTTTCCCCCTTGTTTAGTTTCATTGGGAATTTGTTTTTACTGCATGTTTGCAGGCATAAATCATTCTGACAAATAACCAGTTACACTGGTGCCTGTGTTTACTGAGTCTGCCACAAGATGCTGCTCGGTTTTATTTAAACAACTGCTCCAACTTTGTAGCACAACCCCATTACAGTGATAGTTATTCATCACAGTCTGAGAGGGCTGCTCTCCTAAAGCTCGCAGAAGACCAGCGGGTTCCCTTCTGACGACATCGCCTCTCACAGAACCGAGTTTGATACGAGCGATTATGTTTTATCATCAAAATGATTTTGTCGACTTTTGATTTTTTTCATTTCCACTCATCAAAGCTTAATGTAAAAARACAAAACACAAGAATATTTTTAGTCTGTAATCCTTAATTTGATGATTGTAAGTGAGATGAAATYTCCTCGTTGATTGTACAAAGTGAAATTAGAAGTTTGAAGACTAGAACTACATCATTTAAAACACGCCATTCCACCTCCTCAAAAACGCCCGTTCAAGGAGACAAACAGCCCTATTAGTTGGACATTATCTGCCTCATTACATTTAAACACATACACCGGCTTGGCTCCTCCCTGTGTCTTATTGCTGAGCTTCACCTCTGTCTGATCCGACACTAATTAGCTAGCAGTGAACGCTGTAAAGCACAGTCGCTCCGAAGGTTGTGAAACGAGCCGACTGCTCCCTGGCGACAGCGCAGCACCATATTATATGTGTGATTAATCAGGCCTGGAGCGGCTGAGGGAAAGAGGGGGAGTGAGGGGGGGACACCAGGGCAGAGGCCAGAGCTGCAGTTGTCTGACAGAGYTGCTGTGCCAGCAGGCCTCATTCAGTGGAGCTGTGATCAGCTCAGACAGGGGAGAGTGAAGGAGCGCCTGATGGCCAGAGGGCCCCGGACACAGTCAAGACATTTAGCTTCACCCGTGACTTGTGTCACTTTCTCTCCACGGAGGTCCCTTCAATGCATCCCCCTCAGATAAGAGGACGTGCAAACAGGCAGTCTGTCAGTCCACTCTCTTAAAAAAAAAAAGATCTGCCACAGAAGCATTTCTCCATGAGTTTTTTTTATTTCCKTCCCTTCTCTCTCTCTTGGTTGGAACATTTCATCAGCACACTGGATTCAGTCAGTCCTCTGGTTTGTTCGACACTGGACAACGTGAATGACTGAGAGGTGTTTGTTTTGGAGTTCTGACACTCTTGACAATGTGTTTGTCGATCCATTCATCAGATCACTGAAGCCTCTGGGTTGTTCCTCGCGCACCAGAAGGAAGCTCTGTTGACGTGCGAGTCAGACGAGCCTGCTGGGCCCATTATCGTCCGTTGCTGACGGACACATTGAAGGGCTTGCTGGATAGATGCGGGTTTATTAAAAGCTCTGCCCACAGCAATGGCTGCTGTTATTTATGCATGTTTGTGTCCATTAGGCTTCTACCTCCACATTTCCTCACTGAGGGCAACTACTCATCCATTTCCCCTCTTGATAGGAGCATTCCCTGCACTTTGTGCTGCACTGGCATTATTGTAATCGGCATCCCCCCCAAAAAACCCACACTGCTTTACAATTTTTTACATTAGTGTGGCTCTCTCATTTAAGATTTATGAACGGTAGTTTCCCCATCCATCCTTCAATCTAATGGTATAAAAGAGACAATGTTTTAAACATTAAAATGAAAACCATTTACAACTATGATCAAAAGAGAACACTTGGGCATTAAAGTTTAAAAAGAAAGGATAAGTACAGCCATGTGGATGGACAGATTAGGTGGAAAAAAGACAAAAAAGTGAAGTACAGTGCACTCTTATGCACAGGCAAGAGGCATAAAGTGCTTTTGCGCTGCACTGCAAAACGTTGACCTGTAATTAATACGGTGGTTCCTCTGGGCAATTTGAGGATAGCTGCTTTTTGGGATACAAATCTCTGAAGGATTCTTACCTGGTCAGGACCCCTGTTAAGCAATTTATGTTGAAGGAAAAAACATTTTATGTRAGAAAATGAATGTAAAACTCACAGGAAACAACATTTGTCGTGTATTATAGTTCTTGATMATGTTTGCTCAATAAAGCATGGAAAATACAGAAAATTCATCATTTTGCAACAACAGAATTTTTTTTTTTTAGTGGCTATYTTTTCTTTTTCCTGAGACATGACACCTCACCTTGCAGGTTCTGTAGGGGGAGCGTCATGAGGCCCCCTGCAGCGGCGGCAGCCACCAGGCTCTGGATGTTGGCTGTGGGCAGGGAGAGCACCAGGCCCTGCTGCCCACCGAGGTGTCCGCCTGTGTTGAAGGGGATGAGGATGGGCTGGTTCATGCCTGGCGCCGCCCCGGACATCACGCCACCCACCGCGTTAGCCAGTTGTTGGGCCACCAGGAGAGACTGGGGAGGAACGCACAAATAAAGACACACAAACACGTAGCTTCAGTTATAGAAACATCAATGATTCGTGTCTCTATAAAATGTGTGAAAACGAATCTAGCAGGTCAGTTCTGTATCATGTCAAATATTCTAATTACTGTCTACAAAGTAAAATATGACTCAGGTTCTAAAACTTTATTTCTATTCATACAATAATCCTTTAAAAGATAATTTTAGTTAAATTAATCACGATTAAATCTTAAATCCAGGATTTTGCAGAAGGTAATGCACTCTGTACTTGAAAATAAGAGCTAACTGCATGTCCTGAGCTGCAGATGTGTGCATTTGTATAACGGATTTCAACATCTGTGAAGATTTTTGGACTATTAATACTGAAAGTTTTTTTAGTTTCCATTATTAGTTCAATAAAATGAGCTCGGAACACATAAAAATTTAAATCATATACAGCAAAAATGCAGAAAGATGCAGGGAATAAAATTTCTTAAAACTGTTATTATCTATTGGTGATTTTCCTTTGTAAATTTATCTGTAATAACATAATGAAAAGAACGAAAAGTCTCAGAAGTTATTTAAGATTTTACTTGTTTCATCTGAAAAACACAAAAAGGAATCAAAACATCCAGAAGAAGACTGGACTATAAAAATGTATCCAAAGATGCTCGTTTGAAACTTTCAAAGCAGATGTTTCTAAACTTTGTGAAGAATCAGCTTTGAACAGATGTGGCTGAGAAGCTGCTGTGTCAAACAGTCAAAACAAAAACTCCAGCTTTGTAAGAGAGATGAGCGTTTCTCTTTCACAGATAACTGGTTCAGGTTTGTCCCACTCTTTGAATTACTGACAACCAGGAATAATGCACTTAAAAGTCAGAATCCTTTTCCAGTTGAAGCAGTATTTTTCTGTTCACTCATCTTATCTTGGTTTTATTTGTTTGTTGAGTGGTGCAGGCATAGAACAAATAAAAAGAATCACTTAAAGGTTTTTCTCATACAAAAAGTCTTTTAAAATGTCTCATTTAAATCATTTTTTGTTTTTTATTTTGAACCAGTGGTGCAGAGGTTTTACTCTGGCTGAAACCTGTATAATAGCACAGGAATGACTTTTATAAGTTATTCTAATTTTCTATACTACATTTTTTCTATACATCAAAATTGCGTATTCAAGAAACCTTAGAAAGTAGATACTAAAGGCATTCAAAACTAGAACAAATTCACAAATCAAAATGTAAAGATAGATTTGAATTGTTTAAAAATAAATAAATGAAAGCGTTATGTCAGCTTGTGCCACGTCCCCAGTGAAACAAGCTGCTTTAGACGTTTCTGCAAACGCCTGGTTGCACTGCGCCGACCCCTCCACTGTGACTAAAGTTCCCGAGACTTTAACTCTGATTGTCAGCTATGTGCTTCTTTTTGCACTGTGTGTCTGCAGAACAGGCTGACTGGTAAGAAGAGCCCACCTAACTCTGAYGCCCGGTGCTCCTATGGGTGACAACCCTGTCACTATGATAATGCTGTACAGTGCAGGGGGCCTGCACCTGCACCTGCTTCAACATGCATGTGATCATGGACACATCTCAGGCAAACAATACCAGAAAAAGAAAAGAAGTAATTTTACATTGTTACAAAGAGGTGAACGTCCCAAACACTGTAAAGGATTCCTCCTTCAACATTTGCTTTGATATACAGCAGTGCACAACAAACGTCACTGAAGCATCTGAGAGCATTCATAATGACATCTGCCATTAAATTTAAATAAACAAATTAATTATTTGGCAGCTCAAAAATCCTCAAAGGACACTAACACATTGCGACGTGCTTGATAGCTGCAAGTGACACATTTGTAATCTTTCTCTCTCTTTTTTTTTGCCTACATTTAATCTCAAATAGGAGCAGCGAACAATCAAAAGAACTCTTCAAACATTTCATCTCTGAATCAAACAAAATGAGACTGCCCGTCTTGACAGTAAAGACAGCCTAACATAGAAGAGAATACCATTAAAAGACAATCCTACAATTATGAGATGAAGTCTTGATTTATTCATTATTACAGACAGCTTTGGAGAAGCAGACAGCTGCCAAGAAAAGTACAGTGAAGATCTTTGCGAAGCTTTTGCTGTTTAGTCACCGTGCTTATGAGATGAGAGAACAGCTAATGTGCAAATTCAAAACCTGAGAACAAACATAATTAGTTTTGTTGGAGCATTTGTTGAGGTATTGCTTAGCTACAAGCAGCACACTTTCTGCCCTTTAGCCTGTAACTCTCTGCCCTCTTCTCCTTAAAGCTGCTGTACAATGCTTGGCAGAGCTGACAGCTAAGTGCTGAGAAGTGGTCTCCTAGGGGCCACACAGAGCCGCAGACTGGGTTAGTGTTGAGCTTTGGAAGAGGAAGCAGCCCCACTCTGGACTGGATGTTGTACCCTGCCTCTCTGCTCATCAGGGGAGAATAGGCCCCTCTATCTGCTTGGCAGCTCTGGCACTGAGAAATTGCCCATAATCACACAGATAGCAGACTTTTGTCATCCTAACTGCAATTGGGAAACAGAAAGAAGGTAGATTCATGTTGGGTAAACTACCATCAGATAATGGTTGTTCGAACAATATCCGGCTCTGGGGCGAGAATCTATCAAAACATATTGATCCTGGAACAAGAGAATTGGGTATGGCATGCGGAGCGCTTTTGTTTCTGAAAAGTGTTAGCTTCACAGAGACTGTACTGACAGCATTAATATATTAGATGGTGACTGTTGAGAGCCGCCTGCTGAGGCTCAGACTGTAACCGCWGCTTGCTTCAGCTGCTTTTCCTCAAGTTTTTTTTCTTTTATCTATTATCAAAACAGAATCTTTGACCAGGTTTGTGTAACCACAAAACCATATATTTTTTATACTAAACAGAGGATTTGCTCTTTTAACCAAATTTCTCACCCTTTCAGCCTGCCCCACTAAGCTCAGCAGCCCTCCTGTTGCCTCGTGTTTCCCCTTTTTGTCTGTCCAGATGAAGACTGACTGTCATTGAGTAACACAGAGTGCAGGGAGAATGGCCTTATTAAAGAGGGTGGAGGAAACCTGATGCTTTGGCAGAGCGCGCATGWGTGTGTGTTGAGCGGTGACATTGAGCAGCACTAATGAGATAGATGTTCATTAAACATCACTGAGGCACCAGGCCAATAAATCCAATCAGATAGGACAATGCCTGATTAAGCTATTAACAAGGCTGCAGGCTCGGGCTCTCTGCTGCCCTGCTTGTTTTGACAGAGACTGGATTGTCAGCTCATTAGTGCCACAACTCAATTACATTTGAGGGTGATGTATGATGGCGAAATATTTTAGCATTTCACATTTTAGCATTCACTGATGATATTTATGAATCTCACTCCCAGCATGCACTGAAATGTGGATGTAAGGAGACCAAAACACATTTTTCTCTATTAAAAGGATCCGTGATTAGTTGTAACATTAGACTTTAT